GGTGTTCACATTTCCGGATGTTTCTGCGTGCAACTGAATTTGAGAATCATTATAGTGCAAAGGAAATGGCCTCAGACATAAAGGGAGAGAGGATGGATAAAGGCATGGAGGGTGGGGATAAGAAGTGCAGCTGAAAGCATCGAAATGACAAGGAGCATCTGAACGGTGAACAGAGCACCCAGCTAGCAATGGGGCTGAGACAGTGTACAGGAAAGCAGTTTTCCTGTCTCGCTATGTCACTGTAGAGACGATTCAGGGCCGGAAAAGCTATGGCTGCAAATGCTTGCATCTTTCAATTGTTTAATATGGAAAAACCTATTGTGATTAAAGCTGAATATATAATCATTTTATATTATTATTTTATAAAATCAATAGCTTTACAAATCTGAAATATTTAGCATTTCCAAGCATTGAAATTATTTTAACATTGCTTAACAAATAGGAGGCCAGGTCAAAATTCATGAAACATATTCGTGATTAACCTTTGGTAGGGTGAGAAGAAATAGTCATACTTTTCCCCTTTAATTCTTTAGGAGGTTTAATATTAATTGTTACCTTCATCTGTGAATGTACTAATCCCATGAGGGTTAAATGAAGATATATCCAATGTATCGCCTGTAATTTCCAACTCTGACACTGCTGGCTCCTTCTCATTCAGGTCCATCAGAAGTATTTTTCCAGGCTTACTGGGATCGAAACTTTTTATTCCAGGATATTTTAATCCCTTAAAAACAACAGGTGAGAAAAAAGCAGGCTTATCACAGATACCTCAAGAGCTGAGAGTGGAGCCAATTGCCTCGGGTGTCCTTGCTGGCTACTGTGGGCCACAGGTGACCACAGGGCCATCTCTTAACTGACTGACTTGTGTGTTAGGCCCACAGCACACTTTAGGAGCCGCCGGATCCTCTATGGTCATCTCCTATATATCTCCCATCACCGTCAGCCACATCTTTCGTGACAAAAGCATAGCTGCCAGCCCCTATGAGAGGGTAAGATGCTTGCCCCTCTCATTTGAAAGTGGACACTGATACATAGAAGGCCTAAGGAAAACGGAAATTGTCTGTCTCAGAACAGGCTCTAGCAAACACTCACGGTGCTCAGGAAAGTCAGTCCATTGGGCAGGATCTCCAAGTCTTCCGCACCTGTCTCTGCAGGAGTCAGGGAGGGGAGAACACAGTGTTTCACTCAGGCAGGAAGCTGAAGAAGCTTCAGTTATTCCCTCTCCCTTGAGAATGAGTCTCTCTCACAGCACCTGTTTGCTAGGCTCAGAATAAGTCTTTCCTGTATCTCCAATTGATGAATGTGATCAAAAGAAAATTAAAGAATGATTTTTTTTTAAAACTTATTTTAGGCAGAGTTCTTGTAACCCAAGCTAGCCTCAAGCTCACTTTGTAAACTGAAGATGGCCTCTATCTTGACCCTCCTAGGTAATGGGATTACAGACATGTGCCATCATGTCTATCTTGATTACATGGAATTTTTTAAAAATATCAATATCATCAACAAGCACAATGACAGTGTTCACCTCACTTACTTGCTTCGATCAGTGGCTTTTTAAAATCTCAGAATCAAAATCTGTCATATGTAGTCCATGGAAATTCACTGAATACCAATCATGTGTGATTATTCGGAGAGAGCGTGGGCTTAGCCTAAACTTATAAACTCCAAGTACATGTGCTGTATCATAGTTGCAAATCAATTAAATATCTGAAAACCATGTTAGAAATCCAAGCAAATCCCAAGTGGGGATACGACGCTGCTACTCGGGAGCACGCACTGGCCGTGCATAAACACCAATAATATCTTGCTTCAAGTGAGTTACCATTTAAATACATTTAATGGTTCGACTTTTCAGTTAATATAGAAACAAATGAAGTATTAGATTTTGTAGTCATACTCTTCATGAGTGTGCATATTTTCCAAATACTCAGAGATGCTTGAAAGCAACATGACACTTTCTAGAAAAAAAGTGTTGTGCTGTAAGCTATCTGCTTGTGCTTCAGCACCTTACCTAAATGAGTCTTCTTGATTAGCCTTCTGGACTATAGCCATCTCACACAAATAATTCCAAAAGCAAAAACCATGACCCGCTGCAAACACAGCAAAAAAATGGATCTCAAATGACTTGGCCTCCAATTGGTGGAGAGAAGTCACGGGGTGGAGCCCTTGGACACCCTGAGTAGGCTACCAGGACTTCCTATCCCTCCACCTTTTTATCTTGCTGACAGGTCTTGCCTCCCAGGATGGAGAACAGTAATTATCTTCCCAGCTTCCTTTGCAGCTAGATGTCAGCCTGTCCTCCAGATCTGCCTAATGAGATCTAAGGGGAAATCTGTTGAGAACGTCTGAGAAAGAATCTGCTCTCCAATGCTCAACAAAGTGCTTGAGAAAAAGCCTTGTGGTTGAAAACAATTATTCTTTATTTTAGGCTTTATTTCTTTCATCCTTTCTCTTTTGCCAGCTCCTTGGGTTTGTTACCATGAAACCATTGTTTTAGATACAGTTTTGTTCTGTTGACCAAACAGAACCCAATCAAAACTGAACCACCTTGACAATACATCGGTGAAGTAAAAATTCAAAGCACATGGAATTTGTAATCAGCTCCTGACCCTATATTGCATGCTCTAATTTTGGACGAAACTGAACTGAAACATTAGCAACCTACATAGCAATAATATTCTCATATTTAAAATCTGACACTTCTTCATCCGTATACATACCAATTCCTTTAACTAAATTACAATTAGGGAGTTCTACTGGTGTTACTTCACGGAAAGCATTTAATCTTGCCCTGAAAGGGAGAAAAGGAGAAAACACTCAGAACAACATTTAGAAGGTAGAGTTGAGGTGCAAACGTAAGCCCACAGAGTTCTCCTTAGCCATCTTTTCCCTTGGGTACACCCTGAGTTAGTTTTCCTTGGCAACTGTAATTCTTCAAGACCGGCGGGTGCCTAGGGGTACAATATATGGTTGAGCGAGGACTGTTAGGTGCTGTGGTGAATAGATACATGAAAGCCTACGGCGTCCTCCAGGCTCTGTGTACTTTGGCAGCGACAGGAACTATTTCGTCAGTTGTATTTGCATTCCACTGTGGGAAGTTATGTTGACCGGTAGCAGGGCCCCACTTAACGCCACTGATGTCTGAGAGCCGCTCGTGGGAAGAGCTTGCCATTTCTCTATATTGGTAGGCTCCAATATAGAGATATTGGATATCTCAATATATGCTACTTCAACTAAACATCTGAAAACCACGCTAGAAGGACAAGCAAGTCTAAATGCTTTCATTAAAATGGAGGCATCTTCCACAGAACTCAAGAAAAGATGTATTTTCCACCTGCATGTTCTGTCCGGCTCTACGGCCCAAACGGGGCGTTTGTTTTTCGGGTGTTTTAAAAGTATTTACAACTTCACAAAGTCATATCCAGAGACTGCCTGCAAAGAGGCGTGGCTCATGTGTGCGAGCACCCACACAGGGACATGTGAAGTTAGGCAGGGGAACAACTTACTGAATCTGAGTATCTAAGCATCGGAGGGGGATACTGAGTGAAGGACGAAGGTGAAATGGACAGAGGTGAGAAGGAGCGTCAGCAGGCCCCTGGACAGAGAAAAGCCGTTCATGTGGCATTTGAAAGAAGCATGCCACAACGCTGGCACAGCTGGGAGAGCAAAACAATGACTTGCACCATTTCTGGAACAAATGACACAATACAGTTTTAATAAATAGTGACAATGAGCCAAGGGTCCCCAGGCATTTTATTTGGCTTGTGATGAGCTGGGAACTTCTTTTCTTACCTTCCTGGCAATTTAGTTTCACGGAAGACAGCCAGGAGTGAGTACACACTTTATATAAAAACCCTCCTCCTAGCGACTGAAGATACAAAGGATAAAAAGAATTGAGGGTTTGTTTGTTTCTTCAGGAAAAAAAAAATAGTTATCAATCCCATGGTCTAGGGCAGTCTGGACTAATAGGTTGCAAATGCCACCAAGTTGGTCTCTCATGACAGCACCTGAATGTATCCTGATGCAATGGGATAGATGGTAGAGAAACAGATGTAGCTAAATAGATGGGAAATGCAGGCATAGCAGAGGGCTGTGTTCCCTCGATGGCGGGAAGTAACTTAGGAAGCTGACTCAGGAGAAAAGCTGGAATCTGTCCCATGACTTGGGAAACTGAAAAGCATTTCAGAAATGGAAAGTCCAAAAAATGTCTGACTACAATTTGACATCGTCATCGTAAAAGGTTATGACAACGAAATAAAAAGGAAGTGATACAGCAAAGGCTTACAAACGTTTTAGGCTGAGTTCAATGGTATGAAAAGCGATGATGTAAGCAGGCAGCACGTGTGTGCATTCCCATAAACAACACACACACACACACACACACACACACCTCAAACAAGCTTCACAAATAATCCCCTATTCTTGAGGTACATGCTTTTCTTCTGCTCTGTTAAAGATTGAATGTGGGGCTTTGCATATAATAAGCAGCACTTTACCTCTGAGCTGTATCTCTGGTCCCATGTGGTACGTTCTTAGTTCTTATGTTCTGCTCTGCCTGTTTGTTGGTCATGATTTATCAAACTGATTGTGTGACCCGTGGCTAGGAAGGACGATTTTTGGAGGGACATACAGCAAATGTTGACAAGACATTAAAGGGCAAAGGTCACAACACAAGGCAGAATGGCACGCAAAGAGGGATTTCAGGCATGGGAAGTCATCAAATGTGTCAAAATTCATGGAAGGAGGCAGTGATTTTTTTTTTTTTTTAAGAGTCAAAAGTACACAAAAAGAGTAAGAGTGTGAAACCTGGATTACAAGGTCCATTAAATATGATGATGGGTTTGCACGGGACAGAGAAAAGCTGATTGGCTCAACTGTTCTCATCAAAATAATTACAGTGACCCCCCCACCAAGCCCAGAGTAAACAAGACAGGAAACCTGCACCCAATTTCTCTGGGTCCCAATTAATGACCCGGACAAGCCAGGACTCAACAGGATGCTATTGATGTCAAAGGAAAGGTCCTGTGTTTGCCCCCTTTCGTCCTCAAACACCTCCCGTGTGTGTGTTTTTCCCTAATCACAGATGGCTAAGATGACAGTTACGAAGTGGCTAAGCCAAGGTCAGAACACAAGCATGAAAGCAAATCTCCGTTCAACCCTCTTGCTCAGCACAGTTTGCAGATAGCATCACTGCAGAGAAGCACCCGGTAGCTCCTCTGCCTGTAAGTCTGTATCTAGCGCTCAGCTTTGTAGCTGTTCTCCGATTATCAGAGAATATCTTGTCAAGGGCAAATGTTCTGGGTCTCGTAGATAAAGCGCAATATCTGAGATGTGTCCCTGATCCCAAGGTCTCTGAAGTCCATCCAGAAATCACATAAACTTTGCTGTGACCTGTGCTGTACAAATAGACACTGGCCCCCTGCCAAAGCACACCAGGCCCTGAAGCTATGCTAGCACTCTGGGGGGCCCAGGCATTTCTCTATTTGTGAGAACCATTCCTCATTCATTCTGGGTGTCTTTATGAAGACTACCGTGTGCCAAATCCCATGCCAAGGTCACTTACACATACTTCCTCATTTAATTCTTCAGGTAGTTTTTGAAATAAAGATTGATGTTTTCCAGGCTGAGGGCACAGCTCAGATAGAGCACTTGGTAAGCCTATTCAAGGTCCTGGGTTCAGTCTCTGCAGCTCTGTCTGTCTGTCTCTGTCTCTCTTTCTCTCTCTCACACATACACACATTTTCTTTTTTCTGGATGTAGAAACATCAAGCACCAGTTTATTCACCATTAATTTAAAAGGTACAGCAGAGATAGGAAATCAGATGTCACGATACAAAGCTCTCTGTTTCCCCCTCTTCCTTTGTACCCTTTCATGAGCCTACACTTTTTACTCTGCCTTGACTACACTTTCCCACAGCTTGTTCCTGCCTTCCATAGCCTGCCATGGTCTTCTGTGATAGGATCCTTCGCTTCTTCATTCATTTTCATGGACCAGGGCATCCATGTCTATCAAGTCTCTTGTCATGTTGCTGTTCCTTAATCGGGTTAGGGTCTTGTTGCTCCCCCTAAATGCTAGAAATTGGTGAGTAATGCTCCACCATATTGAGCCTTCGGCTCTTGCAGATGTCTGCTCAGTTAGTCTATGGCACTGTCAGTCTAGTGTATCAGACAGAGAAGGCAGAATAGGTACTCTGATGGGGCCAGCAGGGCTGGAAGACAATTCAGCCTTAGCCTAGGTGTCAAAGGATTATGATAACATTCCAGTGTTGTATAAACTATCCCCAAAGGCTCATTCGTTGGAGGTTTGGCTTCAGTGCAATGCTCAGAGATGGGGTTTTAGCAAGTGATTGGGTCATGATGGTATTGACCTAATGGATAGAGTAATGCATTCATGGATCCATAGTTGAATGAACACTTTGGAGGTAATGGACACCGTGGAAGGTAGTGTCCATAGCCTCCCGTGTGTAGAGGGCATGGGTCACTCACTGGACCTCTGACTTTGGAAATCTCTCTTGTCCTCAAGCCTTTTACTCTGGTTGTTTCTCTCTGCTCTGTGGCAGTCATGTGATAAGTAGCTCTCTGATCCCCTTTCTTACCACCTCCTCATGCTGTTCTTCCTTCCAGCAGGACCACTGCAATGCACCAGCCCCCATGGGCTTCAATCTCCAACACCTTCAGCGGTTAAGTCTTTTATGTGTAAGTTGTTTCTCTCAGGTTTTTGTCACAGTCACAGGAAGTCTGTCACACCTAGTACCAATCACTGGAGTCTTCTGGTGGATTTTGAGGTCACATATTAACAATTATGAAAACAAATGATTGCAGGGAGCTTATTATGTGCCCACTCTTAAACATCCTGCTGGGATGTTCTCGTAAGTTTTAGGTAGAGAAACTGGCTGGAGCTTTTGCTGGCATTAACATGACAAAATGAACTGACAGTTGCAGAAGGGAGATCTTGCCCACCATCGTTGCCTCTAGGACATACTGCCAGGCATGAGGTGAAGTAGCAGAGGTATGCTGAGGAATTAATGCTAGCTTTGTCATTCCATTCAAAGATAGAAACCCAGAGACCTTACACAGCATGGCGGTAAATCTAGGAAGGAGCCTTTCTGCTTCTCAACATCTCGCATCCTCAAGAAATGTTCTGTTGCCATGGGCATTCTCTAGACTTGTCTGGTACATACCATGAAAAGCCACATTCCAGATCTGACTACAAGCATGAACCAGAACCTTCTTGGCTTCTTCCTCTCTGCCTCTCCCGTATCAGAAGTTCAGGAAGTTCTCCAAGGCACAGGATGGAGCTGCACAGATTCTGTGCTCTTGCCCCACCTCCTAATGTATAGGCCACAGCCCTGCTTGCACTTTATCCCTGCAGAAGGCTGAAGAAGGATGTATCTACTCTGAGATCTGGGATTGCCTTGATGTCACGAAATCACTTCTTTACTCTTCTCTGGGCAGATTTATGTCCCCCAAATGAGGGTAGATCGTCATCCATGCCCAGGCCCTCTGGTTCTGGTTCTAACAGGAAAGATGGCAGGGTCTGAGTACCTTCTACAGAAGAGCATACACATTACCTGGGGTGGGGGAATTTGCTAAATAACAATGATGGAATTCAGTCACAGAAAGTGGTGCTTAAGACTTGGCATATCCAGGGAGACCTTGGGTACCCCTCAGGCCTATGAATCCTCTTGTGTGTTGAGGCTTTAGGGCTTCTAGACGGTGGGTCCTGTTTCCCTTCCTTTTGTCTGAGATCCTCCAGGAGATTCTACACACATTTCCAGTTTGTAATTCAACTGATTTTTACAATTTTAAAGCCCAAATTTTTACAAGTGTAAAGCCCAAATCAGGCGATAGAGATGGCTCTACAGGTAAAATACTCAGTACACAAGCATGACACAGCAGTGCACACCTGTAATTTCAGTATTACAGTGCAGAGACAGCCTGATTTCTCTACCAGTCAATGTAGGCAGTCAGGGAGCTCCAATTTCAGTGAGAGACCCTGCCTCAAAAATTAGGTAGCTAGAGCATGATGGAGGAAGATTCCCAAAACCAATATCTGACTTCTCCAGGCGCTTACATAGGCAGATGCAGCCATCCACACACAGAGACATGTACCACACACACACACACACACACACACACACACAATTTTTTTTCAGGTCCAAATACTCTTCCAATGTTTTAAGATTTAAGAAATAATCATTTACAAAACCCAACTCTGTATGGAAAAATCCCAATTAGTCCATAAGATTATATAATTCTTTAATTCCAAATAGTCCATGTTCATTAATTTTTTTACCTCAGAGTAAATAACACAGTAGTGTTTCCTAAGCCTTTTAGAGAAGGATGGTGTCTAGACTTTGAACCCTCCATAAAAGGTTAACATAAAACTTCTTTGACATCCTTAGTCTTCCACCCTTTAACACTCTGGTGGGTTACTAAAGTGTACTGCTGGATAGCTACATTCACAGGCTCCTTGTTAGCAGTTTTCTACACAGATGTTTCCACTTCTGGTTTCTTGGAGCAGCCAGTAGTTAGACACTCAAAATGGTGTGCCCGGGATGCCCTGATAAAAGCAAAGCCAGACCAATAGTGCAGCTCACAATGCTGTTTTCCTCAGCCCAGCACCCAGGAGAGCATGTGCGCCACCCCAGGGAATGGCTGCTCCTGTGTGGGCCAGTTTCCACTCAGGTTTTCTGTCTGCTTCCCTCCGTGGGGCCTCAGACTGCGATCCTCTAAACCAGGGGGCTCTCTTTCACTAATGTATTGATTTAGAAACCAATCCCACCTCCCCACTTCACCCACACATGCACACCAGTCTGGTATTTGGAAATTGTTTTCAAAGACAGTGACTGTAGCTAGGCACACAGATCTTGTTGACATATCACCTGTGTGTCCTGACTTTCCCCCTCTCTCAGACACGTGAAAGGTTTTCAAAAAGCACATGAAAAGACTGACAACACGGACAAACCCCTCTGAGATGCACTTCTTGTCCAGGGCCTACGGATTTTCCCATTAAGAGCCTGAAGCTGCATTAGGATGTGGAGATTCTCCTGGAGCAGGCAGGGGTAGGGACCACGGGGCTGGAGCCCTCACCCTATGACTCCAACACAACTTACTGATAGGAAGCCCGGTGGTTCTTGTAAAGTGCCAAAACCAGTCCCACGACGGTGAGTGCTATCAGCTTCACCATGGCTTGACACGGATGGACGGACTGAGGATGGACAAGTGCAGGGACGCTGGTCGATCCTGAGGCCTGTAGCCCAGTGGCTCGGACAGCTCCGGATTGGCTGGCCTGAGCATGCCTGGAGCCGCCCCCTTGAGCCCCAGCTCCGGTTCAGCCAGAGTCCTCTATGTGCTCTCTGTTGGCCAAGTGCTTCATTCCCCTCACCCATGCCAACCCATGCCCCAACTCTAAGGAGAGAAAAGCAGAACAGGTGTGGAAACTGTCCTGGAAGGGATTAAGCAAGTTGGAGGAAACAGAGAACCATGAGAAAATAATGAGCCAGGAGGGTGAGCCCTTCACTTCGTGCCAGGAAGGAAAAAAAAAGTTCTAATCCTTGTGACTCGGAGGGGGGTTAGAACTTCATCACCATGACAGCCAATTAAGTGCGTAGAAAAGAGGGCCGTGGCCAGAAGCCCTAAGATCGAGGCTGTTCTCACAAGAGGCCCACAGACCGCCATCTCAGAGTGTCACACCCCCCCCCCCGCCCCCTGCCTCTGAGGTTACAGTCCCTGAGACAAAGTATCCCGCCATTCAGCGGCTCCCTTACATGGCTGGTGTTTGCTGAGTGTCAGCTCTGTGCCAGGCACTGTTCTAGATGCTAAGAGCTGTGACCAGTCTCCACGGAGCTGACATCAAGTGAGGGGTGGAGGTCAAAGAAATCATGGCTGTGGAGGCCAGCGAGATGGCTGAGAACTGTAAGGAACACTGACAGCCAAGCCTGGCAACCTGAATTCTGTTCCTAGGACTCAGGTGGTGGAAGGAGGCTTGACTCCTGCAGCTTGTCCTCTGACTTCTTCATGTGCATGTAAACACACACACACACACACACACACACACACACACACACACAGACTTCTAGAATGTTTTCATCAGGTAGGTGCCAATGGAGTTTAGTCATTACCCACAGCTCTCAAGGAAAGCCTTCGAGTTCATGACCTAAGCACTGCCCTGCTTTTCTGCTACCCTGGGAACAAACAGGGAAGATAGCCAGCTGTTGCTTGCTTTCTGCCATATCTATTCGAAAGAAGATGCAAATGAAGCCTTCTTGAACCTTCTAGAACAGACTAGCCATCAGCTTTATGAAGCTAAGTCACTGTGGGTGACTACACATGCAGCCGGACAATCTACCTGAGAAGAGGGCCATGGCCTCCCAGAGAGGAAAGTATTTTAAAGTGAGTCCGGTATGATGGTGATTTGATTTGATGCTGTGGGTAGTTTAATTAGACCAAATTCTGCAGCTGAGGCAAAGGAACCCAAGCCATGGGTTAAGGAGAGAATGGAAGACTAGAGACAGTTCCCCAACTGTTTTCATTGTAGGTGTGTGCATGTGTGTGAGTATGCATTCGACTGCATATGCGGAGGGCAGAAATCCAGTGTCTTCAGCCACTGTTAAAAATTTAATGAATAAATAATAATAGTGTTACTTGGTGAGAGCGATGTGTATGCTTATGGAAGGGGGTGAGGGAAAGGAAGAGGAAGGAGGAAGGGAAGAAGAGAGGGAGAGCTCTCCAACACTACAAACATTTTCCTTGCAATGGTGAGGAGTTTAGGCATAGCTCAGCAGTCCACCTGGCCGATATTTCTGGCAGGCTGTTTAGCAATCCCTTCAAAAAGGGCACGAAATGAAAGTTTTTAAAAGCTACATTTTCATATATTTATTTGAGTCTCTCTCTCTCTTTCTCTCTCTCTCTCTCTCTCTGTGTGTGTATGTGTGTGTGTGTGTCTGTATACAAGTAGGCCTGTGGAGATCAGAGAACAAATTTTGAGAGTTAGTTCTCTCCTCCCACTAGGTTTCCTGTGTCATTACTCCTGGCAAACTTCCCAGCAGCACCGTGGCACTGCTTTCCCCAAACAGACCGTTTGATCTACCATCATGCTTGCTATGTCCTTCCAAGTTCTTCGTACTTCAACAGGGACACTCTCTACTATCCTATTTCCCCATACTCCTTACATCAAATGTACCCAACAGTTTAGATGTCTTCTGGACATCTTGGAACCACTGAATTCATGAACTCACAGAAACTGTGGGTGACCGCACAAGACATGCAGGGGGACAAGCCAGCCAACACTCCCTCATGGAGGGGGTGGTTACGAGGCCCAACCCCTGCTAAGGAGTCACTGATCGCTGGTGGCTGCTTGAGAAAGGAGAGTCAATTTTCCTTAAGAGTATGGCCCCCTGACGGGTGGACTTTGGGCCATCTTTTGGCACTATACCCGTGAGTACATGTAGCAAAAACTGGGCTTGGATTAGAAAAAAAAAAAAAAAAGAAAAGAAAAGAAAAGACTTGAATTTGAGAGGGGGTAGGGGTAAATGATGGATCTGGGCGGAGATGGGGGAAAGGTTGGGGGAGGTGAATATGATCAAAATCCATTGGATGCAGTACGAAGTTTTCAAAGAATTAAGAAAAACATATTTATGTCTTAAAAGCTGCGAGGCTGGCCAGGCTTCTTCCCGAGGTTACATAAGCATTAAGCAATTGCTGGGAAGGAGGGTGTACTTCTGCAGACCTGCCTGCAAGCTGGGCCCTGAGCTCTGGGCCCCCAGCTGTCATGTGTAATCACCTACACAGGGTTGGGCTTTGTAATGCTATAAGTATCCTTAATGCACCCATTCTCCTGCAAGTAAATCCAGTGAGCTCATTGGCTCACCAAACCTAAAAACTAAAGCACCTTTGTTATGTCTTAATATGTACAGGTAAGGAACCCAGGCATGTTGTACTAAGTTTTTACCATGTCACTCAAGCTGGCAGCAGAACTAGCAGCCACGGCTTCGGAGTCTTCAGCAAGTTCAGCTGAGACAGAAGCAGAGGTGAAGTCAGCCTTCAAGGTAACTCACAAGGCTCCCTTCAGATGTTAGTCTCTTGCCTCCTAGGCTTGGTACCAGGACTATGGCAGAAAAACAAAAAAACAAACAAACAAAAAAAAACCACAGCTCTTCTCTCTTAGAGTGAGCTGTCTTCCAGAGTGAAACAGCAAGCCAGCCCAAACCCCTAGAGGAAGCAGCCACCTTCTAAAATCTTAAGGCCCAAAGTGACATGCCAGGCTCTAGTTCATATGCACTGCCTCTTGAGAAGAGGCACGCAGAAGAGGTACATGGGCATCTTGAAAAGCGCCACAACTCCTGAATAACCTCTCGGCGTTTCTGTGTTCCTGACACCATCCCCAGGCTAGAACAACCCATTCTCTGTTCTTGCCCTAAATCTTCACCCATAGCACAAGAAACCTTTGAAAAATGTAAATCAGATTATACCAGTTCTCTGCTTCAAAGCCTCCCTCCCACAGCTTCTGGCTTTGCTTTCCTGTCACATCCTAAAAAGCCCTAGGAGACTTGGCCTAGACTTAACCACCAGATCGAATTTCTATCAGTCCCTCTGCGCTGTGCCAGTGACCTCCGCTCTGTGCTGGTCCAAATGTTGTGTCCATCAGGCTGTTTTACTTCCTCACCTTTGCTGGGTGTTGCTTATAATACTCTTCCGTTGCCCTCACTTTCTCCCTGAGTGCCAGTCCCTAGAATTTGTAAGCTGGATGTTAAATAGCCACTTTACCAAGCTCCACAAACTATCTCCCACAACCTTGACCCTTCTACCACCCCCAAAGACCCCCCTCTTCGTGTGACAATCATTGGCAGCTGAGAGGCTGCTGCACAGCCCAGCAAGTTCCCTGTGGTGTGCTTCCAAATTGTTCAGTTGTGAACAATTGAGCTCTAAACTCTCACCACACCTCTGCTCTTGTGGCCCTCTTGCTTATTCATTTTCTCATCTGCCTGAATCCTGGCTTCCCCCACCAGTCTGTGAGCTATGGGAGGGGCATCTTCCTCAACTGACTCCATAGCTACTGTCTCTCCATCTCCACAGGAGTTTTCTAGCTCACAACCATTACATGAAGAGACGGCAGAGGATGAACACTGAGGGACCAGGGAGTTGGTGAGAAGATGCAGGCTAGAGGTGCCACTTCCTGTCCCCTAACCCAGTCACCCTATGGCCAGCAAAGAAGCCAAGTGGTTCTGCTGGCACAAGGAACTCGCTTAAGTACTTGGTTAATTATCCTGTTTGTGTCCTTTTGTGTGTGTTTCCAACCCACCTGTCTTTCTTTCCTTGCCTGCTTATCTCTACTGATGGCAAGAGCAAGGTTTGTCTCTGTCAGGCTGCAGAGTGTGCTAGTGTGGCCTAAGATGCAATGACAGAGCCCCTTTGCTGTCTTGTGAAAGGTGGCACATTGATCTTCCTTTGAGTCTTCCCAGGCCCCTGACATCCAACAGCATCAACAGCTTGATTCACATGAGAGGAAAAGAAAGTAGGTGGCTGGCCGAGGTAAAGGGTGCTTTCCAAATTCCTGGTCTCTGGCAGAGGAGAAGCACATATAATCTCTGACACCAGAATCAAGTCGGTATCTTGAAATTTGTCCCATCCAAATCCAGATCTAGCCTTTACTATTCCTCAGTCCTCTTGCAGGTTTATCATAGATCCTGGAGGAGTGATGAGGCCACCTCATCCCCAATTTCTACTCCCAACTTGTTCCTTTTCTTCCTCAAAGTTCCCATATTAACAAAACTCCCAGCACAGGAAGGAGGTGAAGTTCCTAAAGACAGGGGACATGAGTCAGAGAGTGGATATTTAAACACATCCACGAGAGGTATACTGTACAGGGAATAACAAAGCTACTGCATTCTCTCATTTATTTTTGGAGGGAGAATTATGCTCAGTTTTTGCTGGAACAGATAGGGAAACATTATTAATCCAGTATGAAATTAAGAATTTAATGTATTTAAGAAATGTAGATTGTGTAGAACACCTCAATCATAATCTTTCAGAGGCCAATGATTAAGAGCCAGGAAGCATGAATAAATAAAGGTCCATTAAGGAAAACGTAATACATAAACACAGTGAAACATTATGCAGCATTTAAAAAGAAAAAAAAGTGCCTATTTTCAAAATACAGAGCAGTGTACAAGAAATTACGTTAAATGCAATAGAACAAACAAAAGAAAGAAAAATGCTATATGATCTGACTTAAATGGAGCATCTAAAAACAT